TATTGTAATGGCTTTTTCTAGGTCTATTAAGATAATTTTATAATTTTTGTCCTTGATTCTGTTTATGTGATATATTATATTTATTGATTTGTATATGTTGAACCATCCTTGCATCCCTTGGATGAGGTCATGATGCATGATCTTTTTGGTAGTTTGTTGCATTCTGTTTGCCAGTGTCTTTTTAAGGATTTTTCTATCTATCTTTATTAAATAGATTGGCCTGTACAGTAGTTTGTTCTTTTCTTGGGTGGATCTTTGTCTGGTTTTGGAGTCAGGATAATGTTACTTTCCAGGACTGATTTTGGGAGTGCCCTTTCCCTTTCAATTTTATTAAAGTGGTTAAGGACGGTTGGCAGAATTTGGCAGTAAATCCATTGGGTCCTGGGTTTTTTGTAGTTTGTAAGGCTTTTTAAAAATTATTGTTGTAATTCTTTTGCATGTTATTGGATTACTCAAGGTTTTTGTATCTTCTTGGTTCAGTTTTGGTAATTCATATGTATTTAGGAATTTATTTCTTCAGAATTTCAATGATATCCTTCGTGATTTCACCTTTCCAATTTGTAATTGCATTGATTTGTGAGCCTCCCCCCCCACTTTGCTACGATTGGTTAAGGGGTTGTCTATTTTGTTTATTCTTTCAAAGAGCTAGCTCTTTGATTCATTGAGTCTTTGTATTTTTTTTTTAGTCACAGTTGATTAATTTCTACTCTGATCTTTTTTTACATTTTTTTTTTTCTTTTTTCCTTTTTATCGATACCAGGGATCAAACTCACGACCGCCTGCTTGCATGGCAGGTGCTTATGCCGCTGAGCTAAATCCCCAGCCCCGATCTTAATAATTTTATTACTTGTACTAGCTTTGGATTTGGATTATTGTTGTTTTTCTAGAACCTTGAGATGTGTCATTAGGTTACTTATTTGGGCTTACTGTATTGTTCTAATGTGTGTGTTCACAGGTACCAACTTTTATCTTAGGAGTGCGCTCAGTGTGTGCCATGGGATCTAATATGTTGTAATTGGTGTCTCTGATTATAGAAGCTATGTAATTTCTTTCATTTTTCTGTGACCGACTCAGTATTCAAGAGTGTGTTATATAGTCTCCATGTTTTGCATAATTTCTGTGGTTTCTTTTGCCGTTGATTTCTATTTTCATTGAAAGATGATCTCATAATATGTATGGGATAATTTATGTTATATTTATTAAACATGCTTTAATAAATGGGCAGATATGTAGTCTTTTAGAGAAAGTTCAGTGTGCTACTGAGAATAGTATTTTGTTATTGGGTAGAATACTATTTATCTGTTAAATTCATTTATGTGAAGGTCATTTCTGTTATTTCTTTGATTTTTGTGTGTGTGTGTGTGTCTAGTTAATTCGAGACAATGGAATATTAAGACCCCTTACTCTCATTGTGTTGGTGTTTATCTGATCTTTTATGTCCATTAGTGAGTACACGAATGTTTGGTACATACATATTTATTTCTTGCTGTTGAATTGTTCCCTTAACCAGTACTTGGTGACCTTCTTTGCTTTGTCCGATCAGTTTTGGCATGGAGTCTACTTTGTAAATAGCCTATCTACTCTTGCTTGTTTTTAGGGGAATACTTACATGGACTATTGTTTTCCATCCTTTTTTTAGTCTATGAATTTTTTTGGATCAAATGTTTTTCTTGTGTGCAGTATATACTTTCTATACAACCCAAGCTGATCTTGAACTCCTGGTGATCCTTCTGTCTCTGCCTCCTAGTGCTGGTATCATAGGCATGTGCCACCATGCTTGGCTATCTGGTTGTTTTTTTTTTTTTTTTTTTTGTCTTTTTTCCTTTTTATCGGTACCGGGGATCGAACTCACGACTGCCTGCTTGCAGACAGACGCTTATGCCACTGAGCTAAATCCCCAGCCCCTCTATCTGTTGTTTTTAAGGAATGTCTGAATAATTGGTCACCTCCTGTGGCCCTGTGTTCTAGTTCTGGTACTCAGTCCACGTAGTGGTCAATTCTGCTCCCCATGCTTTGAATAGAGTTTTTTTGTCTCCTGGGTTTCTGTTTGTGCCTTTTCACAGACTCTGATTCTTTGCTGAACTGTCATTCACGTTTTGTGTCCCTTTGTTTAGCTCAATAAGCCTTATATTAGTGAATTCTGTAACCTCACTGATCACTTTTTTATATAATCTTTGAGCTAGTTGAGCACCTTATTAATCTTCTTTTGTCTCTTATCTTTTGTACAATTCAGTTTGGCCTTTGATTTTCTTTTGATTTCCTTTCCATACATTCCACATAGATCAGCTTTAGGGAAGTTGATGGTTTGGGGAGGCATTTTGTAGCCTTGTTTTCTTTCTTGCTCTTTCTGTCTATCCTGACAGTTGCAGATCAATTATAAAGGAAATATTTTGTTGCTAATATAGTTAGTGTTGCTTTTCAGTGATGTGCTCTAGGAGTAGCTAAGTATATGCCTTTGTCTCTCACAAGATCTGACCACCTCCATTAATTTGCGGGGGAGGAGGCTGCAGTGTAATTGAACCAGCACTTACCCCAGAATCATTTGCAGTATTGTTGATGACATATAAACTAGAAATTGGCTTACAGTAAAAATCAGTTAATAGCAACAACTGTGCCACCTTGGCAGTAGCAATGAAATCAACAATAATGGAGATAAACTTGATATTAGCATAAGAATGAATGCAAATTACTAGCGCAACAGACTGAACAGTAGGAAAAATATCTGTAAAGATAATGTAGACACAAAGACAAACCAGGTTTTGTTCTGTCTTAAATATTTACTGGACACAACTATACCACCATTAACAATAGAAAAGAAGTAAAAAATAATAGCATACAGTCCACTAAAAATCTAAAGATTAATAAGGCTTGATAGTATTACTAGTAAAGAGGGTGGGCAGTGAGCGGGACAATGGGAAAAGCAGAATTTGAAAAATAAAGATGTGAAGCAGGAGAGAAAAGTGAATGAAGGATTTTATTCGAGAGTAAAAGAAATTAATAGAATTAGGTCATAGTAACAGAAAAGAACAAATTAGAAAAAGAAGAAAAAATACAGAACAGAAAAAAGAAAACGTTCCAAACCCCTCAAAATGAATGAATAAAAAGAAAAATGAGTGTTTTTGAGTGAATGATTTCTTTCCGGAACCTGCAATATTGGAATCTACCAGGTCATGAGGGAGGAAAAGATCTGTTTTGATGCACACTCACATTTTTATGTGTGCATGCTGAATGCTGTCTGCCTTTCCTGCTGGGCATGGCTGTCAGTGGTGTTTGCGGTTGGGCTGTACTCATCCAGCAGCTCCTGGTTTCCATGTCCCCGTGTGTACTCCACGGCACAGGTTTCTTTTATCTAGCTTTTCGCCTGTAGGTTTGAGGTTTCCCTCCCGGCCACTTGCTTCTAGACCGCTCTGTCCATACACCTAGGCTGTGGCAGCCATTCAAGTTGACATGTATCCCTGATCGTGAAGCAGATGGGGAAAGCAAACAGAACACTGAGATTTTTGTGGAATCTAGTTTGCCAAATGGGGGCCCCAACCAGTTCCCTGGCCATAATTCCACATCGTCATACTCAGCCCCGTCCAAAGGCCATCCAGTGCTGGCCTGCCTCCTCACTTCAGAGTGCAGGACCCCGGTTTCTTCCTGGACTGAGCTAGATCTGTGTCCATCCTATCCCTGTCCACCTCTTGGTTTAGGCCATGCTTCAGCCATGGTTTGTGCCAGAAGGTCCTGACATGTTCTCTCTCTCTCTCATCCCTCCTTTGGACTTTTGTTTGTTTGCAGTACTGCAGATGGACCCTAGAACCTTCAACCCTCCTGACTCCATTGAATTTTAGAATTTTGGGACAAAGTCTTACTAAGTTACTAAATTGTTTAAACTGGGCTCAAATTTGTGACCCTTCTGTCTCAGCCTCCCAGAGTGCTGGGATTACAGGCATTTTGCCACCATGCCTGACTTCTGTCTTGTGGGTCTTGATCTATAGAAGAGGTGACAGTGAATGGCAAAATTGGTCTAAACCTGTGGTGTTCAGGAGGTACAGGGCAAGAGAGAAACTCCACTTTATGTGGTGTGTTTGTTCTGTAAATATCAGATTGGGGAAAGGTCATTACTTCATCTAAGCAGCCTCCAGTGGGCACCTGTTCTATGAGTAGACCAGCACCTGGTGGCAGAGATCACCTAGTATTTGCTTTTAGCTGTTTACCGGTGACGTTTGCATTTAAAGGTAGAGTCCACCATTCTAGGTCATGGAAACACAGCCTGTGACGCCATTTCTGTTTTAGGCACTCCACCCTGAACCACAGGAGGGTTCTGTGAAAGTGGCCCTGGAGTGCCCTGACCGTGAAGGGCCTTGGCTGCTGTCCTGGGACAGCACGTAGGACGGAGGCTGAACCATGACCTGTTATTTCAGGTGTCGGGGGTTGTCCCCTGGACGTGTGTGCTCTGGCAGGCCTAGTGTGTCATGCTGTCTCTGCTGCATGAATGTCAAATTCACGTTGAACCAGCTGCCTTTTTGCAGTGCACACGTCAGCCTGTCTGCTCTGAAGTAGCTTTATCAGCAGCCTGCTGAAGTGTCAGCCCCACACCAGCCAAATTGAATCACAGCTGGCTCATATACTGCTAGTCTAGGGACAAGGGAAGTGGGGTCAGTCATAGTGCTTTCTGTGACCAGGGCAGACACTTTATGCTGACTTAACTTTAGAAATGAAGTAAAAATGTGATTTTTTAAAAAAGGTTTTGGTCCATAATTTTCTTTCCTTTCCTTTATATACTTTTTTAAGATATTGGTAGAGGTGGATTTGGAGGATAGTTCAGAAAGTGCTTTGTCTAATGCGTGGACGTGAGAATCTTGTGGCCTTTTTTTCCCAGGAGTTTTTGTGTGTGTGTATGTGTTTGAAGAAGTGCAAAAAGGGCTGGGAAACAGTGGCTGACCAGTGTTAAAACCAGTCTGTTCTTGTCTTTCTGTGTTTTTTGTTTTTTTCTCTCTCTAAAAATGTGGCTGCAGACTGTAAGGATGAAGAGCTCAAAGCTGCCCCCAAGCGGTCCTGTCTGGGTATGTACGTGCTGCATGCGTTTCCATGAAAGCTTTTGTTGCATTTCACTCTGCAGCTTTGTCCCTCTGCTGTCTCACCTCATCTGTGTTGCCTTCGCCTGCACATGAATGGCTTTACCAAGCATGGCCGTGTCTGCAGCACACTGACTTGCCACAGCACTGCTTCTCCTAAGCATGGAGTAGTCCTTACCTTAGAAGCCTGCCTGCCTTCTGGTGTGTTTATGTTTCTTTGTGAGAGAGAGAGAGAGAGAGAGAGAGAGAGAGAGAGAGTGTGTGTGACAGAGAGAGGAGAGAGAGTGAGGGAAGGAGGGAGGTGCAAAGGAAGAAGAAAATGCACATTACAAATTTTAGATTTCCCTGGTTAATTTTACTCCACATTAATTCATTTGTTGTAAATAGAATTGTCTGTTTGCAGTTTGAATTGTCATTGCTAGTTTGTAGAAATAAAGTTGATTATTACATATTAATCTTGTGTCATACAGTTTTGCTAACTCTGTCTTAACTCTAGTTGCTATTAAATAGATTTCTTTGAATGATCATTTGCATACAAATAGAGACAGTTCTACCTTTTCCTTTCCAGTCTGCTGCTTTGTGTTCGGTCTTACGTAATCACCTGGCTAACTGTGTTGCAAATAAGACTCTTGTTTTGTTGTTGTTGTTCTTGTTGTTGCTGTTTGGAGACATGGTCTTGCTATGTACTTGAGGCTGGTCTTGAACTCAGCATGTAGACCAGACTGACCTCAAACTTGCAGTGATCGTCCTGCCTCAGCCCCCCAGTGTCTTCTTTGAATGTTAGTAAGAAGGCCTTAGTTGTTCACCGTTAAATATGGTGTCAGTTACATGGATTTTTCACAGTTGTCTTTTTTAATAGCTGAAGGGAGTTCCCCACTGTTCTGGGTTTACAGTGTTGGTTGTTTTGTTTGTTTTATCGTGAACTAACATTGAAGTTCGCCTAGGACATTGCTACATCTCTGGAGATGATCATGTGGTTTTATCTTTTATTCTTTTGTTATATACTATATTAACATTGATTTTTATGTGTTGGATTAACCATTCATTCCTGGGATGAATCCCATTTGATCATAGTGCATAGTACTTTTTATACTGCCTTATCTCTATTGTTTTTCTGCTTGCTAGTTTATGTATTTCCAGTGTAATATTATTTCTTTTCTGTTGATTGCTCTGGGAGTAGTTTGCTCTTTTTCTAGTTTAAAGTGAAGGGTTAAATTGAGTTTAGTTTTTTTTTTTTTCTTTCTTACTTTGAAATATAAATGCTTGCAAGCCATAATTTACGAGATGTGTTTTCTTGTTGGGTGCAGGGTATTGTAAATAGAATTGTCTGTTTGCGTTTTGAATTGTCATTGCTAGTTTGTAGAAATAAAGTTGATTATTACATACTAATCTTGTGTCATACAACTTTGCTAACTCTGTCTTAACTCCAGTTGCTAGTTGCTGTCTGTCTGGGCTGGTGATTTATGGTATTGCTTGTGTCTTTGCTTATCTAATTATTCACTGCCTGATTGTTACATCTGTTATGGAAATGGGTTTTGAAGTCTCCACATGTTTTTGAATTTGCTAACTTTTCATTTCTGTCAAGTTTTGCTTTGTGTACTTGGCACATTGTTAAGTGGGAGTATCTTCCAGACAGATTGACCCTTTTGTCATTAGGAAATGTCTATCTTTATTTCAAGTGGTACTTTCGGTTATAAAGCCTATTCTGATATTAGTGTAGCTCTGTACTTCTCCTGTAGTTGCTATTTAAATAGCAACTATATCTTTCTCTGTTCTTTTAATTTTTATGTATCTCCAAATCTAAAGTGTATTTCTTTAGAAATTTTATTCTAGTAATCTTGCTTTTTTGATCTGATTGATTCACATTTACTGTTTGATGTGTTTAGACTTACAGCTGTGTCTTTGTTTTCTATATTCCTCATGTCTTTTCCTTCACGTTGGTTTCTTTAAGGTTTTAATTGTATGTTGAGTTGTTAGTAGTTACTTTAAGGCTATAATATACTTTTTTTTTCCTTTTTGGTTCTAAAGACAAACCAGGGGCCTTGTACTGAGTTACATCCTCAACCGTTTCTGTTTTTTGTTTGAGACACAGACTAAGTAGTCCAGGCTGGCCTTGAACTTGAGATCTTTCTGCCTTAAACTACTGAACAGCTGGGATCACAGGCATGAACTTGCTACAGTACACATTTTCACTTAACAGGATCTACTTCAAATTTATGCTGATTTAATTTCAGCGAGATGAGAAACTTCACTGCCACGTATTTCTGTTTCTTTTCTTTTTAGGTGGCATGGTTTTGTGTGTGTGTTGTGTGTGTGTGCATGTGTGTTACAGGGATCGAACCCAAGGACTTTGCACTGAGCTCCATCCTGGCTTCCCTCTCTCTCGGCTGGACTGAATTGCCCTGGTCCCACTGGAGCCTCCCAGAATGCTGAGATCATAGACATGTACCATCATTCATGGCTCGATGGTGTGAACTTTATACATATTGTGTCAGTACATTTCATAGGTCTAATAATGTATTTTTCTAATTATTACTTTGTATAAATTTTATGTCTTTTGAAGCCCAGAGAAGAAAGGAAAACAAATGTCTGTCTGTAGCGTTACTTTGTTACCCTTATTTACCCTTTCTGGCTCTTCTTTTGGTGCATTTGATTTAGCACCTCTGGTCCTCCCCTTTCTCTAAAACAGCTTTGGTTCTTCTAATCTGATTTCATTTGTGTTATTGTCAAGTGTGTTACGTGTCTATGTTAAAGCCTCCCAAGTAAATAGTGCACATGTTTCCTGCAGTAGCTTTTTCAGCCATTTGAGAGGGGAAGAAGAAAAAATGTGCTTTTGTGTTCCTGTGAAGTAGCTTACATGCAGTCATCACTTTTATGTACTCTACGTTTTTTCGTATATGTTCATGTCACTTCTGATGTCACTTGCTTTCACCATGAAGAGCTTGCTTACCTTAGTGTTTTCTGTTAGGTGAGTCTGCCAGCAAAAGATTCTCCTAGCTCTTGTTTATCTGGAAATGTTTTTATTTTGCCCTTATGTGAGCAGAAAAGCTTTGCTGTGAGAAACGTGGTTAACAGTGCTTTTCCTTTTCAGCCCCTTGACTGTTACCCACTGCCTTCGGGACTCCATTGTTTCTGATGAGAAGTCAGCCGTTAATCTTATTGGGGTTTCTTGTAAGTGACAAATCAATTTTTTCTTGTTGTGTTCTAGAGTTTAGCCTTTTTATTTGGAATTCAGCATTTAGACCAGGAGGCATCAGGGTGTGGATCTCTGTTACTGTGTGAGGACTTAATTGAGCTTCTTGAGTATTAGGTTAAAATTGCCTCCTTGGAGCTTTTCAGCCACCATCTAAGTATCTTCCCTGCTCCTTTCCTCTCCTGTAGTGCATCTCTTGTTCATGTGTGAGCGCACTGAAGCTTGTCTCGCAGTTTACAGAGACTTTTCCCCTTTCTTCTGTTTTAGCTTTGCTTTTAAGTTGCATGCTCTTACTGACCATTCTGTGGATTCACTGACTCTCGTTGGCACGGCTTGTTGCTGAGCCGTGGCAGTGAATCTTGTCTCAGCTGTACTTTGTAACTAGCATTTCCACTTTGTAACTAGCATTTCCACTTGATTGTCTTCACCGTTTCCATCCCTTTACTGATGTGTGCTGTTTGATGGAATGCTGTCATCATGCCTTCTTTTTAACTCTTTGTACTGTAGTTGCTTTAGTCCTTTGCATATAATTTATAGTGGCTGTTTTAAAGCCTTTTTTCCCCCTTTGGTTCTGCTTTTTTGTTTCTGCTCTTTCCCCTGTGTGTGGGCAACATGTTTCTGTTTCTTTGCACATTTGTTTTTTGTTGCATACTGGACATTTTAGGTAGATGCTGTACCGAGCCCAATGGCCCAATGCTTTGTTCTGAGTATCCTTTTGCTGGGGAGAGCTGTGATGGAATCTGTTCTTATGCCCCTCCCCACAGAGTGGAATCTGAAATCGTGCTCTGGAGCTGGTGACGGCACAGTGAGCTTTTTAGAGCAACTTGCCACTGTCAGGCAGGGATGCTGGCCCCTGATTTAGGGGCTCAGCCTGCCCTAATGGTGTGGACCCGTACTTCATGAACCAGCTGAGGCCGGGGTGATAGACACCACCATCTCCTCCTTATCCTCATCCTTCTTTTTCTCCTGCTCCTCTTCCTTCCCTTCTTCCTTCTCCTCCTCTTCCTCCTTAGGGCTCTCCTCCTCCTTCTCCTTCTGTGATACACACTTAAGATTAAACCTAGAACCTTTGTACTGAGCCACATCCCAGCTTACTTTTTGTTTTAAGAGAGGATTTGCTAAGTCACTAAGTTGCCCAGGCTGGGCTCAAACTTGCCATCTTCCTGCCTCTGTCTCGTGAAGACCTGAAAATACTGACATGTGCTATCATATCTGGTTTGTGTTTTTCATCTGTCAGCAGCTGAGGACTAATTCAGCAGCTTGAGCATTCTCAGGTAGTGTCAGGGATGGGCATAGGCACTGTCTTTAAGTCTTGCAGTAGAAGTCAATAACCTTAACACTTTTTAAAATGAAGGCGCTTTCTTGATTTGGGAAGAACCTTTATCAAAGGGTGCTCTAGCCCCGGGCCATTCTGAGTCTCATTCAATGGTGTGATCATGTAATGAGCTTGCTGCAGAAATGTTTGGACCAGAGGTTGTGTTCTGTCAACCCTAGTGACAGAACACTTGTTGTACAAGTCTCAGGGTTGAGAACAGACCAGTCTCTGCCTTGCTTACCTGTCCATTGGGTGTCACATTGAGCGGAACCTCATAGACTGGACGTTAGTAAGGATGAAGAGGGGGAAGGCTGCTGAAAATGAGAGGCAAAGATGCCAGCACATTGCTGACCATCCAGAATTTACAGCCGTTCCTCCTCAGCCTTTCCTCTGCTGTTCCCCTGGCTTTTGCTGTGCCTACCACAGTAACATGGAGTCTTGGTGGTCATTATCAGGGTCAGTACCATGGTACAGTTTCAG